CCCCAACTTGCTGAAACTCTTGGTGGTGTCAGCTGTCATTTTATTGTCCTCTTGTTTCCTGTTCCTTCGTCCTCTCTGCCTGCAGTGGGCTGGGGCACCTGGCATGGGTTAAAACCGAACCCTAACCGTGTCGTGCCTCGGAGCTGCGGCTGGCGGGGAGCGTGGCTCGGTGTTGGCAGATCTCCTTCATAAGGCAGAACGCCAGAGACGTGTGCGGTAGGTCCAGCTGGTACTGCCCAACGGACAGTCTTGCAGGCCATAGAATCATTAAGGTTGGAAAAGACCTTTAAGATCATCACGTTCAACCCTCAACCCGACACCACCATGCCCAGTAAACCATGTCCTGAAGTGCTGTGTCTACACGTTTTTTCAACACCATGCCGCATGGTAGTGGGGTGGCGTTGCGCCTGGTTATCGCAACACGCCAGCATCTCTGTCTCTCCAGAAGGTTTGGGCTGGTGCAGGAGGTGGGATGTCTAGTCTGGCTTTGGATAAAGTATGGTTTAGATGTTTCTACCCCCAAGTACCTTCCCACCTACAGTGGAGAGTGCTGTGTTCCTGGTGAAAGATGCCCGCACTCCTGAAAGCGTGACAGGGCAGAGCTGCTCCCTCTGGTACGGCCTCAGCATCCTAAGCCACAGGCTGTGCCTTTGTCGCTGAACTTTATTGCCACCATTGTCTACAGCTGTGTACAGTTTCGTTGCCATGGTCTTGCAGTTGCCAAATTGGATTATTTTGTTTTTCTTATGGGGGTAAATCTCATACCCTTTGGCATCTAAATCATCTTCTGGCAATGTATTCCAATTTAATTATGCATAAAGTACTTTGCTTGTTCATACCTTCTGCCTGGATTTTCATTTTATGCCCTTTTCTGATTCTTACGCTGTGGGACATCATAGGCAATTGAAGCTGCCAATTTGCTTCGTCCAGGCTGCTCATAACTTTACAGAACTCATCAAATCACACCAGTTTTCTCTATTGCAGCTTGCCTAGTTTTATTTAACCTTTCTTAATATAAAGTTATTCCAGATCTTGAGCATCTGTGCTGCCCTTCCCTCTACCGTTTTTAGGTTGGTTTTATCATTCTGCTATAAGGAAGCCAGAATTACGTGCAGCACTCGGGGTGTGAGCATAGCACAGAACTATATCATGGCATAGTTATGCCCGTTTCTTGTCCTTATGCATTTTTAATTATTTCTAATGTTTATTTTCCTTTTCTGAGTGGTAGCCGATTTAGTACCAGTTGTTGTGGCTGTATAAGTGCTCTTCCACATGCAGTGTTCTGCATTTATCAGGAGTTTGTTTATTTGTCATTATATTGCCTGGTCTCTAGGAAGATCTTTCTTTCACAGTCAACTTCCCCCACCCCAATAATTGAATATTCTTGGCCATTTTTGTATTTTAATATAAACCATCTTGTGTAAATTATATATGAATATGTTCATGAGAACCAACCGCTTTTACTAGTGGACTCTTTTCATGTCGAGCTTAAAATACTTACTGCAAATTGTAAATAAGACTAAATATTTATAAAAATAGACTGAAAATTTGTAGTATTTGTTAAGCATTTTTGGTGAAGAATCTGGCCAGATGTGTTTTGAGTTTTGGGACTGCTGTGTTGACCAGCCCACTAGTGTCTACATGCTTATTGATCTTCCAGAGAACTTGAGGAAATATGCTTAAAGAGAACACGGCTTCTCTATGCAAAAATGGCATCTAGGTCTACCAAATATTTCCATATTTGATTTTCCAGCCAGAAATATGCACAGACACGTTATGTAGTGCATAATTAGGAAGTGCAGAGCTCTCCAAAAATCATCAAGTGTGTAGCACAGGTATGTGGAGTGCTAACAGGAAGCCAGGAACTTACTGTTTGTTCACAAATGTGGAATAAGCCGCAGCAATGCTTTTTGGAAGTACAGAGTTTGCTGGTTAGGTGAGCAGCCCTGCCACGCATGAAGCCTTCTGCTTGGGATAGGTTTACAATATACGATGGGCTTGGCTCCACATGCCCCATGGCAGTGCTTGATGTTACGACTATCTGGCGTCACTGTTTCGTAGCCTTGGTTGTGTTACTTACATATCCTTATGTATTTCAGGCAGTCCGTCTACTAGGACAACATTTCCAGGCAAAATAAGGTGCTTTTAGAAAACATAGGCAGGCAATACCCATTAGCTAGCTAAACCTGGCGGCAAAATTTAGAGAAGGGTGTTTATAAAAATGTTAAGAAGTTAGTGAAAGTGTGCTGTTAATATTTTGGGAGCCACACATCTAAGTAGTATGTTATTTAGTGCCAAGGAAATGAATGAGGTGTATCAAAAGGAATTTTATTTTCTTTACAGAGCTTTTATAGTGTTAGCCAAAAGTTCCACAGTCAAAACCACATACAAGATCAAGAAACGGTAGAAATGTTTAGTAGGAGAGCGTGAAAGAGGCATTCACATTGTAGAGACTGTGGTCATTTATTATCATTACTGGACTAATTTCTCCGTGTTGCAGACAAGTAATACTTGGTTGAGTGCCACAAGGAACAGCAAATACCACATCATAGGAATACACATTGCTGTTTCCTAGAAGTTGTAATAGTCTTTATGTAACTTTTTCAGAACTTCAAAATGCCTCATTTCCTGACAGCTGTTCCTATTTTCAGTAATTGTTGGAACATTTTTTGCATGTTCAAATATGCATTCATATATTCTGAACTATATTGAAGTGCTTTATAACTCATTTGCCTTTTTGAAGTTGCTTTTTAGCAACATCAACACTGAAGCTTTTAGGCAATCAGCTGAATAATGTAGCCTGGTTATTTCTTTATCAGGTTTGAAGTCATGTTTAGGAAGGCGACTCCTTGCTTGAGCTGTAGGATTTTCTTCCTGCTGTTTGTCAGTTTAATGAAATCTGCTTTCGCCTGTACTTAATCACAGACACACTAATGCCTATAACAGTGAAGATTATGAGTGGTTAGCAGACTACCATTTGCGGGGACTGTCAGTACTATAGTTCCCTGTTACTGCTCACCACACTGGAATAGCACCGTTGCTCTGCCTTTAATATTTCGTCTTTTCTGTACAGCTCTAAAGACACGTCTGGGAAAAATCTTCTTGAACGCTTACCTTCAAACTTGTGATATGGCAGTCTCACTGAACCTCTTAAAGCAGTAAGAATCAAAATGTATAGGCACCAGTTCTCAAACAGTTTTCTGCATAATCTGATTTTGGTAGCTCTGAAAGGATTTTTCTTAAACAGCGTCCTCCGGAGTTGAAGGATACTATTAATATAGATCAGCCAGAAGCAATTTCTTACTACCTTATGCTTTCAAAAGCTTGGCCTTTTTGCTGTGCTTATGTTTGTATAGCTTTTGTTCTCTTCACACAAACGTTCAGGTGTTCTTTGACGTGAAGATTGGAGACAAAGATGTTGGCAGAATTGTAATTGGATTGTTTGGAAAAGTGGTCCCGAAGACTGTGGAGAACTTCATTGCGTTGGCAACTGGAGAAGTATGTTTGCAGTTTTCTTCCACTGTGTACTTAAGTTTGGATTGGGAAGTAAACATTTGTTTAATGCTGTTTCAATTGTGAACTGCCAATCTTAATTCAGTGACACCTGTGCAAGAGTGCCATCCCCAGGGCTGTGGCACTGGTGTCTGTCTTCTCAAGTCCTTGGGGCTTGATTCACAAGATGTAATTATGAGATGTTGTGTATCACCACTTCAGTCTGTCCCTGCCAGGCAGATCTAGCATGTAGAGGTACCATGGTCAGATACCAGTCAAATAAAGATAATGGCTTTGATCATCTGTGTAATACCTGCTTTGTGGCAGTGCAGGCCAGCTGCATTCACCTGCATCTCTGTATAATTTCTTTCTTGCCGTATTTTTCTCTGGTGGTGGTATAGTCTGTGCAATCTGGCCATTCACCACAGGCATATTTGTGTGTGATTGAATAGAACTGGATGTTACATTCGTTTAAAGGATTATTTCATTTTCTTAGAGAGGATATGGATACAAAGGAAGTAAATTTCATCGTGTGATCAAAGACTTCATGATTCAAGGAGGAGACTTTACAGCTGGAGATGGATCAGGAGGTAACATGCTTAGTATCTTCCAGGTTCCTTTCTTTTCTTCGAATGCCTGCTGAAAAGCTGGGCAAACCAGCATATTCCCTCATACTTTCAGCTCACATAAATGGAAAAACAACATACTTGTTTAGAGTATCTAGTAATTTTCCAAGCATCTTGGAACATAAACTGCAATTATTTGGATTACCCAATTATAAGCATGTGTAGAGCTTCCTTTGTCCTCAGTTTTTGCAGATAGCTCTTTTCTGTCTGTGACTTGTCCCTGTTCAAGAAGCATGGCTTTGTGTGGTGAGCTGGAGCCATGTGATCAGCTGAGCTGCTCTTACAACATACTGTCTTCAAAAGACGGAACGTCTTTGCCCTTCCCCTGCTCTGGCTTTGTGACAGCACTCCTTCCCTGAGGCATTCGCTGGCTGCATATATATGTGAACCAGTTCAAGTCATCCCGCAGAAAACTAATCCGTGACAAAACAGTGAAGCATGTAGAAAGAAGGCAGGTAGGGAAGGAGTAGGCTGTCCTCTCTGCCCTCAGCTCATCTAGTTCTGTGGAACTTTCTGAAATGTGCTATGGGAGGGAATTTCAAAACAGGGGTAGAGAAATTAGAAAATTAGGGTCAGGCCTTCTCCCCTTTTTTCTATTACTAAATGTAAAACCATAAACCTACTGGTGGTGTGAGCTCTTGGCTATGTGTATCACTTCTCTCCCCTGAGCCTTCAGAAGACCAGTTCAATCCACTAAGGAGGGCCGTCCCAGGGCAGCATCTCTTGCATTGCATGCATTCTGGCTTCTGATTTCTTCTCTTCCTTTACATCCACATTCTTCTCGCGCTACGATTTGAATTGTTGACGTAAAGTGTTAGTGATTTCCCTGCTGGGACAGAATGGAAAACACACATCCCTTTTCCTTGCAGCAAACAATGGGGAAGGCTAAAATACCAAAACCACAGTTTTAGCATTAAAGGTAGGCAGTGTTTGTTTGCCAGCCAATACTGTTTATTGGGATAGTTTAATATTGTTTCTTGGGCGGTGTGTTGGGAGCAGTGTCCCCATTGTGCTAGGCACTGCACAAATAAAGAAGGAGACAAACAGCCTTCCCTTTTCAAAGTGATGGTGGTTTAAACGTGACTCAAATGTTTTCTCTTCTGAATTATTTTAGAAGCGTCAAAATCCTTTTTTAACATTTGTACAAATCCACACTGAGTCTTTTAGGCTAATTTCATTTGGTCTTATTATATTTCTAAACATGTCTAAAGCAATTTCTTATTAGGCGGAAAAAGCTGTAAAAGTAAAGACTAAAATTGTCACAAGACATAGCAGCCTTATTTTTAGTAGCCATAACTACGTAACTTTAAGTTTGTTGAACAGGATGAAGTATACTGTCGTTCAGTGGTGTGTGTAAGCAGGACCTTTGAAAGGTATTCAGCTTGCTGGTTAAATTCAAAGGATAAAGCATCATCAGCTTTAAATATCATGTCCTTACATGTGGTGTTTTATCTTTTTCCTTTACACACAAAATGGTTTTTGTTACGGAATCACTGACAATGGAACAGTGATGTTGCTGTGCCCAGTCAAACGATGAATCTTCAAGTCCTGAATTTATAATTTGTTTTTCCCATTTTTCAACGAAAAGGGATTTTTTTTTTTTTTTAAGTTTGCTTTCTTATTTTGTATCATAGGAAGAAGTATCTATGGACAAAGGTTTCCAGATGAGAACTTCAAGCTCAAACACTATGGAATTGGATGGGTTAGCATGGCTAATTCTGGCCCAGACACCAACGGATCCCAGTTCTTCATCAGTGTGACAAAGCCTTCTTGGTTAGATGGAAAACATGTAGTATTTGGCAAAGTCCTTGATGGAATGGTAAGCTAAGTACTGTCAAGATTAATTCAAGAAAATCTGGACAAATTCTGCCACACTGTGTCTGTGTTAGCGTAACTTATGCCACTGTGACTCGGAACAATTGAGTGTGTATCTAGTATGTACATGGTAGAAAACAATAGTGAAGAGCCTGGACGATTTAGAACTGAAATAGCAAATGGTGACTGCAATAATGGAAACTTAAATCATGCCTTTGGCTTTCAAAGCACTTGTTTCAGACCAGTAATCACTGGAATCAACACTGACACCTTTGCAGATTACAAATGGAGTAAGCTCAGGTTCCCGTTTCACTAATGCTGTTAGCCACGAAATAATTGTATTTCTACAAGCTAAAATCTAATTCTGTAGCCTGTGCTAGTTATGGGTAACACTTGCACTGTTAGGGTTTTTAGAAGCCTGTGACTGTAAAGTATACAAACATATATTCAGATCTGTTTAAAAAGAAAAAAAAAAGCTAGTTAATTCCCTCAAACTGTGCACGGCTGCAAAACTGATCAAATACATCTCATTGAAAAGACCAAATAGAATTTATGTTTAAAAATGGTAGTTCCAACTGTAATACTTTTAAAATTATTCAATTTAATCTAGGTTTTGAAATGAATGGGGGAAGCATGAACTGTTGCGCTCACCAGTTGTTTGAGGAGTTTGAAAACTTCATCAGAACAGTTGCCCCCCCACTCCCACTTTCATATTGAATTCAATTCTCATGAGCTACAGTAGTAGCTGAAAATTTTTGAGGAGAGACTTAGACTAAGTTTTAGTTTAGTTAGATTGGTGGACAAATATTCAAAGCCGGGTAGTCAATATTCCTAACTGAATTTTGTCCTTTAAAAATATGACTTTAATTAGGTGCCTAGCATGAGGCTGGTCGTTTACCTGTACCTGTCTGACCAGAGGGCATGGTACCCCACTTAAAATCTGTGTGTGTTACACTGAAGGTAAAAGCATTCCTCAGATTTCTTAAAGCACGGTTCCGCTGTATGATTAGAAAAATAATTACTGCTCACCTGTTATGATCTCTGGATTCACTGTCCGCTCACAGATTACAGGTGGACCTTGTATGTGCTAGGTTGATCATCTGAAAGGATATTTTCAGTTGCCCTTTCATAATATTTTTGTTGTCTGAAAGTTTTTGTAGAAGGTCAAACAGCCTTCCTGTGCTTCTGTCAACTTGTGTGTGGGTTGCAAAGTGGCACACTGTTAATGTGGGGAAAAAAAAAGCCTGTGAGAACTCAACAGGGTAAAGGTCTTTGCTCAGAAGTTGCTTAATAAAGAGTAATGCTAGGAGAACTTAGTTGTTTACCTGGTACAAGACTTGAGCCACTGGCGTTTCCCTGGCTAAACTGAACTTCCCCCCCCCCCGCCCTTTCTCTTTCATTTTAACAGTCTGTGGTGCACTCGATAGAACTCCAGCAGACAGATGAACATGACCGGCCCCTTCAAGACTGCGTGATTGTGAACAGTGGCAAAATAGCTGTAAAAGAACCATTTGTAGTTGAAGTAGGTGACTGGTGAGACTGACGGTCAGAATGCAAAGTAAAACTTGATCACTTTTCTTTAAGGCCTGTTTTTGACTGATCTTAACTGTCCATTGAGTTTTCCTCTCAAAACATATGAGGCTATATTTAGACAATCACTTGCCAAATACATAAAAGATATGACCATTTCCATAAAACTTGATGGAGCTGTCGCTCCTTGAAATTCAAGACATAGCCCACTAAATCCTAGATCTTGCAGAAAAAAATCTTTCATTAAAACTTTCAGAAGTACTTCTATTCTGTCAAGGTTTGAAATACGATAATTTTGTTCTTTTTGGAAATTTTTGCAATATTTGTTTCTGCCTTTTCAACTGAAGAGATTATTTTCTGTAACAGTACCAGCATTTTTAAAAATGAAAAAAAAAAAAAAAAAGTGAAATACAGAAGTGTTTTGAATAAATAAACTTTAATTTCAAAGAAATACTTAATGAAGAGCTTTTTTTTCTCCCCACCCCCAGCCTTTTTTCTCACCTCAGTCGATTCTGCAAAATACGCAGAGGGTGCTGCTTTCCAGGAAATGATGTTGTAAGGTTAGAGCAGGGATGGTGCATTTCTATAATCTTAACATGTTGGATAAAGTCCCTGCTGTCTTTCAAAAACCCCACAGTATTCAGATACAATCCTGCAATCAAGAAGGAGCAGCTCTGTCTATTGTTAAATAAGATCATCAGTTAGAAACTGATAAAAACAGAAGTCTTTGTTTTACAGCAGAGTGAATTTTAGAACACCTAGCTAATGTTATTTATGATAAAACTCAAATGCTTTTTTCTGGCAGGTTTGCTGTAGGTCAGAGATGCAACTTGAGGTTCATTATTTTTTTAATGCTGCTTAAATAACTCGTAAGCTGGCAACTGGAAGCTTTTAAATGAGGTCAGCATACGGGACTGGTGGGAGACAGCTGTATTTGTTAGGTCCCGTAATGAGTTACATAGTACTCCACAGGAAAGAGATGTGGATTTTTGCCTCTTGCATTAGTGTTTTAGAACCGAAGATTGAAGAGCTGATGCCAAGATCTGATGAAGGATTCACCCACCTGCACACCCACCACTTACCTTCATAGTGACTCATTTCCTGAAGACCGCCTGGGAGCCCAGGTGAGGTACCCAGACGCTGAGTGGCGCAGGGGAGGAGCGAGTGCTGCAGCGCAGAACTCTTGGGTACCTACTGGCACCCCCCTCACCAGGAAACTGTGGAAGTGCTGTGGGCAGGGATTTACCTCAGGTCCTCTTAACATGTCGCTTGTTATGGGGGTGCTTCTGCTGGCTCACCATGCACAGCCCTGGGGTGTCTTGAGGGTAAATACTGGCACTTTATTTGAGAGACCTGTGAAAGGGTTACTGCCCACTTTAAACAAAGCTAGAGGAGAACTTGCCCAGGGCCTCATAAGTTTGCCTAGTACTAGGCCATCAGACTTCCATTTTACCCCATCCATTTTTCTTTCTACTAACTGTTTAAAAGTAAAATTGTCTGAAAAGCAGCACTAAGAATCAGTGTTAGGAGGCAAGAACGAGAATGCCTCGGACTCATTTGCCCAAATAACTTTCTGCTAGTAGCTCTGGGCTTTTCTGCAGTCCACTGTAGAGAGTTCTGCTGCCTGAACAAGTGCTGCAGCCACAGGCCTACCTTTTACAAAAGTCCTGGCTTTTCACCACCTCCAGGCAGCTTTAAAACAGATCTAGTAGTCAGCAGGAGGCAACTCCTGTGTCTCCAGCATCAGACTTCTGTTTGTGGCTAGCTTTGCCATTACTGCTCTTGCGTAACACACCCTTCCTCTATTGAGCCCAGTGCCTTACAGGCTCTTCCATTACACCGCATTTTCTTACCCCAAGGCATACACTTTTATAAGCCAAGCATGTTCAGATAGCGTGGTGCTGAGAGTTGCAGATGAGCAGACACCACCCAGGTATCTTCTCATGCTTTATGTGGAGATACTTGCAAGACCCATCTTTGATAACAAAAGCTTAGAGAAATGTCTTGTTTTAATAGAAATGCACAAAAAGTACACTGAAGCAGTACATTCATGTTCTAGTAATTTATTTTGTAATGTCCAGTAGCACACATACAAATTTCCAGTTAAATCTGAACAAATACATATACAAGTATATATATGTATGTATCAGTTTTAGCTTTATCATTTTACTACTTAATCATATTCTTGCTTTAGCTTACCACAGAGTTGCATGCTCTGTGACTTACAAAAATGTTAAAAGATACGGAATACAGCCTGCAAGTTGATGTGAAGAGTAAACATACACACAGTTAGATGTCACAACTGAATGGAGATGTAGAAATGCCATGTAAAATCTGCTGGTAGATAAAATAATTATTTCAACTGATTAATCTAGAAAATTTCCTGAGAAAGTGCTACGTATTTCAGAATGTGGAAGCATGTTTTCTGGTAGAAACCCTCCATACACCTGCATTGCACAGGGGTAATGGTTCGAAACTAAAGGAGGGCATATTTAGACTAGATACAAGGAAGAAATTTTTCCCGGTGAGGGTGGTGCAACACTGGCGCATGTTGCCCAGAAAGGTGGCAGATGCCCCATCCCTGGAAACATTCCAGGTCAGGTTGGACGGGGCTCTGAGCAACATGGTCTAGTTGAACGTGTCCCTGCTTACTGCAGGGGGGCTGGACTAGATGACCTTTAAAGGTCCCTTCCAACCCAAACTATTCTATAATTGGCTCTTTTACAACCTGTTATTAAGGAGCAGATTCAAAATAATTTTAGAAAAATTAACAAAATACTTTTAAGTTGCTTTCAGTTTCGTCTTGCTTTAAGTTTTTTGATTTTTTGGCAATTTCTCACACAGTCTCTTCAGTGCCAGCACCTTTAATCCATCCACTGCCAGCAATGGGTAATGTGCTGGGAAATTCCTGGTATAAGAAAGTTTAGTGTAATTTATGATAGAAATTATAGAAATAATTAGTAAAGCTTTCAATTCTTTTGAAAAGTTAGTGTAATTCAGTGTATGACTTTCAGCTTTTAGTGTTAAATAGTTAGAGCATGTCAATATATGGAAGGTATAAATAACTTCAATACTGTTGTTTCCATATCTTTTTTTTTTTTAAAGCAGCACTTGTAGTGACATTGATTTTTTTTTAAAAAGATACAATGCCTGAACTTAAACTGAGGTCATGCCTCTTGCTTCTGAACGTAATTTTCATATCACAGAGTTTCATTCCTGTTAATTCCATTAAACATGAGTCGGAGGCTTGATTCAGCTTCTTCTAGCCACGCATCACTTCTACCTGGGCAGTAAATGAGGATAAAATATTCCATGTAGAATGCCTTCTATAACTACATTTGGAAAGTCATCTGGAAAAAAAAAGGGGAAAAAAAAAAAAACCACAGAAAACCTTGCTTTCTTATTTATGTCAGTACAATACAAATGTTTTTGTGAAACTTAGCTAGGTAAAGCCTCGTAATAATATTTGGTTACTGCATCACTCAACTGTTTATCCGTGTTGGGGATGTGCTATTAGTAATGCTGTTTCAGCACTAAAGCCACTTTAGCACAGCACTGGGCATTGCATGAATGCACTGCCAGATTTGTAGCTTATTGATTTAAAGGGATGTTCTAATACTTAATGCTGCTAGGCTCCAGCTCTTTATCTGAATCTTTTCTCACAAGGAAGATAGATTACACTGGCAATTCAATTTCTAACAAAATCTCAATATACTTGAAGGAATTCCAAGATTGCTACTGGGAATACTTCAAAGCTGTTTTTCCATTGTGGTTTACAGCAGTGTTTAGACTGAGAACACTTGAGGATGCCTATACAATCAGAGATGATTATTTGAGGCAGGAAAATTTCAGGCTGTCTCATCAACATAAAATGTCATGTGTTCCAAACAGTCATCCTATAATATCTGAAGGAAAAAAACCCACTGTATTCTTACCGCAGATACTGAGGAAACTGGCACTTAATTTTCATGTTAAATTTAGCATCAGAGAATTACCTCATAAAACACAGTAATGGATCCACACAGAGGAATGGCAGGATGTATGTTACTGAAGTGAAAACACTTTTCAAATGCACCTGGGTTTTTAATGACGGCTTTACTTAAATCACTGGGCATTAAGAGTAAGAATTTCTGATTGCATCTTACAACTTAAAATTGCTAGTCCACTAGGAAATGGGTTTGCCTAGAAGAAGACTATTTCTGACACAGAACTTTCCACGCTAATCAAATCTTTCCTTCACCTGTCAGCCTGCAGGATATTCAAAGAGGAGAGATGCAACTTTTATAATAATCATTAGATACTGGATAAATTAGATCACCTAATGTGGGTGGGAATTAGGTTTTGCTCCTAATTCTTTTGTTACAATCATTTTGGAGGTAAAAACATTGAGCAAAAAGTATATTTGGACTTGGTAAGAAAAAAAATACTCCTTATTAGCTTAAAGGTGCCATCAGAGGTATTAATAAGGTGATTCCAGTATTAAACATGGTACGAACAGAGGTATTTTAGGATGTTTTAACGAACTGCAACCTCCACTTCTCCCCAACTTCTCATAGTAAGTCATCATTATGAATCACTTGTTAATATTTTGAATCCAATAATGATTCCTCAAGTCCTGCAAGCTCAGCTATCCCAAATCATCCTGGTAGAATAACCCTATGCTGTTGTTATTAATGTTATTAAAAATACACTTGTAAAGGCAATCTGATGCTTTCCTTCTAAATTAAATGCTGCAGTTCCAGAAACCAGTTTTTACTGGTTCTTCTATAACATAGAATATATATAGGAAAATGAATATTGATTAAAAAAATGATACAACTTTACAGCATTAGATTTAGTGTGAGGCTTTGTTGCTTAAAAAAAATCAAGCCTATTAATTTAGGTTAAATGTATAAATACACCAAAGCACAGTCTAGCAGATATGTGATACCTCGACAGCTTAACGAATCATCAGAATTATTTTCAAACAAGTGATGGTAAACCTGAGATTCCATTTTTTAGCTTCTGAGGTATCATTTTAGATTTTTCCTTAATTTTTCTTCAAAATAGTAATTTTTTTTTTCCACCCCCTCAAAAAGAAGTGGTCACCTTACACAAAAAATGATGTGCTCATGCACTCAGACTGTGTTAGAAAGCCATCACAACACGAAAAAGTGAGTCTGAAAATCAATGAGGTTTGTAATGTGAATCTTATTTTTGGAAAGTTGTCTTGCAACTCAACAATGCTTAAAGTCCAGTCATTAGAATAATGTCAAGACTGTATTTTA